AGAGGGCCTGATGGCACTTGCCCCTGTTCAAGGTTAATTCCAGATTGAGCTTCAAAAATCTGACGTGCTATATAAAAGTAGGACACAAATCCCACCCTATCCCCACCACTGGGCTATGAGGTATTCAAGTGCTTCAGTTGTCCCACTAAGCCTTCAAATTAGCACTGGAACAGCATTCAAAACAAAATCAGCCACAGAGCTGCATCTTGTACATCTAAGCTGCAGCTGCTCACACACAGACACTTAAAAAGAGAACTCTACTGAGCTGGCATTTGGGCTCTAAATGCAGAGGAGAGAGGCGAGCGTTTGGTGTGGTAAGGAAAGGAAGGAAGGGAAAAGCCACACGCCGTTCTGAAGCTGAAGAATCGAAAAAGCAGCACGGAAACACCCTCCCCCCCACCCGCAATAATCTAGTTTCAGATTTCAGCGGGCAGAATCCCAACATGGCACTCACCATGGTTATGCTCTCAACAGCAGTGCCGCATAGAGAAGCAGGCGTACAAGTGATCTTGCCATCCAGGAAGATCCCAGCAAGGCAGAGCAAAGGGAAGGGAGACCAGGCACTGGCTCCTGCGCCCTTCGCTCTGGGGGCAAGCACGTGACCTGCATCTTCACAAGTGGCTTCAGAGTGCCCGAGTTGGCTGGCCTCTGCCCCTGGCCGCCACCAAAAATCTGACTTGGATGCTTGAGGATAGTTTTACCCTCCCCTGCTTCTAGCAGGCAGGGTTGTGTGGGAGAAAAAGTCATCAAGCTGCAGTACCCACCCCTGAGGAGGATGTTCTCCCCCAGTCTAGACTGGCCACTGACAGCTATACTGGTTCTGGAGAACGTCTGCTCTTTTCCCCTCCAGTCAGCAGTCTCAACACAGCAAGACCGAACATGACCGTAGCCAAACCCCTGGCAGGTTTTTCTTTCAAAGAGCTGCCTGTTCAGGTCTGCTCATGGGAGACACTGAGTGTTTAATCATTTTGGGGTTTAACTTTATATATCTATCTATCTATCTATATATCTATATATATTAGTAAATAAAATTTCACCAGGGTTTACATGCCCAGCAACAGACACTCTCCACTGCTAATTTTTAATTCAGTAACATGGGGTCGAGTGAAATAAAATGGAGAGAGACATCTGTTGAACAGAAAAGTCTTGGGTTGGCTTCATTTGGAATTGTTTTTCTTCCTGTGCTGTCATCCCTGATGGACAAGGCATGCTCACAGCTCCAAAAATGTTTCTGGCTAGGGCTGTACATGCCTACCAGAAAAGCCCAAGAGGGAGAGAAGAAACATGGGGCAAACCCAAATTTAAGCTGCAGTCAACCAGACCTTTCAAACCATTCCCTTGCTGTTATCCCACCCGAGGAACAGCCAACGGCATTGCCACTTGCAGAACAATCAGATTCACTTCTGCCTCGGCCTTGTCAGTGGAGGTATCCACCTCATCGCTGCAGATATTCAAGGGCCCTGCTGCCTCCATAAATGCTCATTTCAGCCAACAATTCAGGCATCCTCTTCCCTCAGCACAGCCACGAGGGGCTGTGTGGGCGTTTAATTATGCCTCCGGCCCAGACACCTGATTGCGGGCTTTTAATTTCCATTTGGCTAACAGCTTGAGTTTGGACACCTTCCTATGCAGTGTGCTAGCCCGCCCCTGATGAGCTATGGCAAGGTCTTGTAACTGGATCACGAGGACATCTTGCCATAACGAAAGCCAACAGCCAGCTTACTCTCATCTACATCCAGGAGATGGTACTGGGAAGATGCTGCATCTAGCACTGGCCATCAAAATGTAGTGAAAAGGTAGATTAAAGAAAGGGTTATCCCCTTTTCCCTCACCACAATACTCACCACTCTGCCTTCTCAAGAAGACAGGGGACTGGCTGGCACCACCTACAAGTAATTTTTTCTTTTCATTGGCAGCTACAATTTTTTTTGCTCCTCTTCTGCTCTGAGTGGCCAGAGGTCATTCCAGCCCCATTTCCCCACACCGCGCTTCTCAAGAGCCCTTCACACCAGTGTAAGAAGCACCCATGAGTTGCTTAAGGTACAAGGTTAGTAGCAGTTACACCAGACAAGACATCTACAACAGCAGCACGCAACTCCACCCGCCAAAGCTCACCTTTTGAGCCCCCGAGAAAGCGTGGTAGAAGCAGGAAACGTATGTCATGATGGCCTTCTCATCGGGCCTGAGAGTGCCTACAATATCTGCGCAGAGAGAGAAAGGGAGGAGACAGCGTGAAGGGAGCAGGGCAGAAACCTCCAGGCCCCTCAGGCATGCAGCAGAGGGGAACAAGCACTTGCTTTGGACTGGAATCCAAACCTAAGCTAGAGCATCTCAGCTTAGCGAGTCATTTTGTTGCTTCAAGCCTTCCCTGTTTAGGGGTTCAGGGTATTTTGGCCCTTGCAGACCTCTGCCATCCCCAGAAAGATAGCCTTACTTTAGTTTCAGCTGCTAAAAGGTCTTGTTTAGAGCTGCTGGCTACCAGATTTGGTGCTCAGCTTCAGAAAGTTCACTGGGAAGTTGCTTGCTTCTACTAATACTACACGACTTCCCCCACAAACAGGGTCCAGTCACGCATGTTTTAAAAGTGATTTTTCCAGGTTGCTCAAATCATTGGGTTATAGAATCATAGAAAATGAGGGTGGGAAGGGAGTCGCATCTAATCCAACCCCCTGCTCCAAGCAGGACCAGCCCCAACTCCATCATCCCAGCCAAGGCTTGGTCTAGCCAGGTCTTCAAAACCTCCAAGGATGGAGACTACACCACCTCTCTGGGGAGCCTGTCCCAGTGCTTCACCACCCTCCTCATGCGAAAGTTTTTCCTAATATCTAACCTCAACTTCCCTTGCTGCAACTTAGGGCTACAACCACAGAAGCTGGAGAGCTCTATAAGCACGTGTGTGCTAGCTGAGGCCTGGTTTCCAGTCAGCAAGAGAAACCATTGTCATCTGCAAGAGAAGTTGGGTAAGTGTGGTATGCTGCAGTTGGAAGTGTTACAGCAAGATGGACACAGCTGCCTCTGGTACCTTCTGCGCGCCAGAAAAGGCATGATAGAAGCTTGACACATAGGTCATGATGGCCTTCTCGTCAGGGCGAGCTGTGTTGACGATGTCTGCAAGCGAACAACAAGTGTTAAAAATCAACCGAAGGGAGAATCCCAGTCGCACTGAGTCAGACTTGCTCACCAACAGGCACCGTTAGTGTAAGACCAAGAAACAAGCTCTTCGCCCTTCTGGAGTCCTGCGGGTGAGAATTTCTCAACAAAAAAAAATTAGCAAACGCTAAAACACGTGAGTGGGAGGAAGAGGGTGTTAGAACCATCCTGGCTGAACAAACAGAAGTTAGTCGACCACGACCGAGTATGAGCCACTTGCAGCTGATGAATGCATCGTGGGCGAGGCAGATGCTAGGGCTTCTGCTATTATTTTTGGGGGTTTTTTTTTTAAGGAAAAAGTGCTAGATTTAGTGGGGAAACCACCACCACCCAGAACAGGATTGACTGCACCAATCTACTGTTCCTTGACTCCATCCTCAAACTGCTCAGTGCATAATTAGGCCACACACAAAAAATGTTCATAGCTAAAGGCACACCAATCCCTAATGGAAATGAATGAGACTTGGGAAAGACCGGCACGGTAAGGCAACTGGTTCAAGGTGGGATATGCTGACTACTAGAGTGAGAGGAGAGTATGGCTTGACAGGGTATAGTCCCGATGCACTGGATGACAAAACAGCTGATCAGAAATTGACTTCAAGCACCAAGCTGCTGGGAAATAAAAGTGTTTTCACAGTATTGTGCACTTACAAAGGTCTCCTATAACCAACTAATCAGCTTGCAAAATTGCCTTTCCAATACAAGCCAACTCATTTAAACGGTGAGATACTAGAGTCGTTGGTCAGATTTGTTTTGATGAACTGGCTGAGGCTGCAAGCTTACCCTCTGCATCCAGCATCTTGGGAATGTCCAGGTACTTCTCGGCCACTTCAAAGGCATTGTTGAGATTTGTGACGGGGTCATCCTAGAAACAGGAGAGATGTAAACCTCACTTGGACATGTTATAAACTTCTCACGTGTTATGACCTTCATCCCCTAAAAACCCAATGGCAAAGCTGCCCAGGGACCATGCCATGAGGCAGGCACGAATGACACAAATGAAGCCTAATTTCCTCCAGCTTGGATACAAAGGTTCCTTCACCACCGACATCTGTCAGCTGAATTTCACCTGCTGAGCTCCAAGTCCCATTTAATGAACACAGCAGAGTTTAATGTTTAAAAAGGGCTTTGTAGCATCTTTTTAAATCCTGTTTTCTAGCATGGAGTTTATGTTCTGATAAGGCAGCTAGTTAGTGTCTTTGATAAGTTTGAAAGGTGCTGGTTTGTGTCTGGGGAACAGCGTGAGAGGCAGGATGAAGGGGGGGGGGGGTATATGCCCCTCTCAGGATGGCACAAAAAACACAGTGGTTCTGGGGTATATGCTACTCTCAGGATGGCACAAAAAACACAGTGGTTCATATTTGGAGACAGCGCTGCTACCACAGCTATGTACCTTCCTGAGCTTGTCGTACTCGATGAGCTCTGGTCTGTGCCTGTGGATCAGGGCGTTGAAAGCAAGACCATCCTTCCAGCTGTAAGAGAGACCCAAAAAGTGTTAGACTGCTTCAGTGATACGCTGCCTTCACTAAAGGGGTAGCAGATCCAAGTGGTCTGCATCGCTCTTAGATTTGGCCCTCAGGCTTTCGTTGACCAGGCAACCCAGATAAGGGGCAGTGGCACAAGCCTTTCAGATGTAAGTGCAGCAAAACATGCGTGAGTTATTCTTTTCTCTTCCAGCCAAGCAGCAGTAAGAGCCTTGCTGGCCTAAATGGCAGGCCCATTGAACAATTTATCTGGAGGCCAGAGAGACAAAGCAAATGGGCCATTTCCTGCCATTCTTGCCCTTCCTTCCAGCCAGCAGGAGCAGTTCGGTGTAAAGGATCAGGTATGAGCCGAGGCACTGACTACAGGGTGGTCCGCCCCGCAGTTACCTGATGTGGAAATTCTGGACGTTGACATTCTTGTAGGGTGCAGTCTTCCTCTGACACCAGAGCAACAAGCCTTCCTTGGCGGAGGTCTCTGCAAGAGAGTCACAGCAAATCGAGTCAATCCTCCGTGGCCACATGTTTAAAACCAAGAACGTAACAGAAGAGTGGAACCAACTGATCCAGTGAAATACTGAACCCTGCCCTCACAGCAAGGGCGGAGCTTGGGCTGCACTTTGTGCTAGGGTCTGGGCCATAAGCCTCCGTGACAACTCTGGCAAAAAGCACAGCAAGGCAAAGGCTGAGAGTCCCTTTCAGCGTAATCCCGGGGCATGAACTTCCCATGCTGATCTCCACCATGGAGGCTGAGCCAGGACAGCTGCAAGCAGCGCGGTGACAAAGCCTGACTTCCTTCTGACAGCACTGGCTGACTTGAAGGACTCCCACACAGGGCCGTTTCTGACCCACCAACTGATCCTATCCAGCCTGCCGGCCACCACCAGGAGCCTGTGCCCCACCCTATGCCACTGCCACAGCCTGGGCCATGCAGCGTGCAGACTCCTTCATACTCCCCTTCCCCCCAGCTTCCTCTTGACACTGCTGCTGCACAGTCCTGGCACCACGGCCGCTGGAAGCCAGGCCCACGTGACATGGGGCACAACGCAATGCAGCAAGCAGCCATCCCGCCCACCCGTTGCAGTGAGCCACTGCTGCACTGCTAGGAGACGAGTCTGTGCCAGCTGCTGGGGAAGGAAAGGGCCCAGCCAGGGCAGGTGGATGCCTGGCTGCCGGCAGCCAGGGTACCAGGACTGCACAGCACCAACAGGAAACTGGATGGGGGAAGAAGCTGTGGATAGAAACAGGAAAAAGAAGTGGTGGATAGGGAAGGACAGAAGGCAGTAACAGTCTCCTAGTTGAGCTCTTACCTTCCACAGAAATATCCTGAATAGCAAACCGAAGGATAATCGTCCAGATCATTCCCAGCGTCATTTTTGCGTTGCCGTCTACAATCTCTGAAAAGAGCAGAAAAAGAATTCGGCCGTTAAACACCCCGTGCATGGAAGAAAGCCTCCTTTTCCCCAGTGCAGCCACAGCGAACAGAGCTCTCAGGCCCAACTAAACTAAACTGGATACTTTTAAGAGGCACTAAAAAGCCACTAAAAGGCTTGGTATTGTTCAGGGACTCAACTGGAGGGCAAGTGCTGACTGCACTGTAAGCACCTCTAGAGACATTATTGCTTGGGCTTAGAAACACTCAGTTCTGATGTATCCTCAACTAGTCCAGCATTTTGGCTTCTCTTCAATCCAGGAGAGCACATCAGCAAACTCCCTATGCCCGAAGAAGGGTGTTTGTGCCCGAAAGCTTGCAAAGGACGATTTTTCCAATGATTTAGTTGGTCTAATAAGACATATCACATCTACCCAAAGAACCTTGTCTGCCTTAACCAGTCCATGTTTTCCTCACTAGATGACAGCACTTCACTACAGGACACTTGGAAGCTGGGCCTCCCCCCCGCCCCCAATCTGAGTTCACACCCAATGACTCAAGATCTCTGAAGGACAAGTATGGAGCAGCAAGGAAGAGGTGCCCCATTTCCATTCAGGTGCGGCACAGGGCAAAGCCAGGGGGAATCAGACCAGGGATCAGAACGTCACTATTGCTCAAGGTTGCTGGAATCCAGGTCTGGTGGCTACGTAGGCTATTACACTCATGTCTCTGGGCAAACCTGGCACTCCTGAAGCAAAGCATGGCACTGCAGAGCTCAACGTGAGCTGGTATTGCCCGATTTCAGTCGCAAGTCGTTCTTGAACAGACTGTATATGGAGTCTGCTCCACCGTGGTCATCATCCTCCAAGGAATCTCACCACACCTCCAACCCGCCCTGGACAGCTGAACTGGCAAGGAGTGGTTTCACCCAGTGCCATACAAATAAAGCAGTCATCTCTATTCAACTTGCAGTACTGATGCTGACCTGTTAGGAGGTGCATGCACCATCCCCCTAAAAGCAGCCCCTTAAAATCCACCTGCCTGGAAAAACACACAAAACAGAACAAGATGACTGCACTTATTTCAGCTGCACTGGGTAAAAGGGAGCCAAAGCCTTGGCACGTGACTAGGACAGGGTGCCTATGTCCTTAGGACAACAGACCGCAGCTAAACACGGAATTTCTTGCGTCTCAAGTAGCTAAAAACTCCCTAAACAAATAAACCCTTGGACGCACAAAGGATGAAGTCAATCTATTCCTAGAGACAGCTGAATGCTCACAGGAGAGAGCCAGCATCTGTAAGAGCTACGTGGATGACTGGCTGTGGCAGCTCAAGACCCCACGCCCTTGCACCCGATGTGGCATGAGTTGGAAGACACATGGGTTTCTGGACCGGTCAGACCTTCAAGGAAGGACCCCAGGCAACAGACTAACTCCACGCTTGCAGGAACTGAGTCCAAGGCAGCCTAGCGCCAAGTGACGCCATGTCCGAGATAACAGGGAACCTGTGCTTTGCAAGTTCCAGAAGGTCTCAAGTCTCATGAGCAATGAGTCCAAAGGTGATAACTGTGGCAGACTCTACGAAGCCACTGCCATCAGACCCATAGGCCATCTCAGTGCAGAGTCCTGACACCGCCAGCACCAGAGGTTACAGAGAAAGAGTCAGCTGATCCTCTGCTACTTAGCGGCTTGACATGCTTTCTTATCTATTTTGCAATTCAACCGAAAAACATAAGCAACGCTGCTCTGGACTATCTGACCAGAGTGTTCTTCCATCGATGGGGCCAAATACATGCAGCTGGAAGAGGCCAAGGCAGAAGTCAGTCCAGCTGCAAAGAGCCACACGACTAGAGAAAACAGCTTAGATCCCGATGCAATAACAGGAATTCTGTTTTTCTGAGCCATAACAACTTCACTGCCAGCACGTCAGCTTGGCAAAAAACTCAGAGGCATCCCGAACACGGAGACTTGGACGAAGGCAAAGAAAAGGGCTTTGATTTCTTTGGACACGTCCTTTGATCCAATTATTAACGGCAATTAGTTGAACAGCAGCAGGCACCCATCGAGCTGGCCATGCCTTGGGCCATCATTCAAAAGTCTTATACACAATCACAAAATTATGGATTTATTTCTTGGTTCCCAACAATGCTTTTAAAAGGCCCTCAAGCGTGTTTGGTTTCCCTTGGTTTTACTGAGCACTGCAAAAGAAGCCTGCATCTCCCCTCAAAGCCCTGTTTGGTTCGAGACCTTCAGAGAGAGTAGACTGCATTTCCACATGCTGCCTAACCCATCATTTCCGATTCTGCTGACGCTCATGTCATGCAACTGCTGCCATATTTAGCCACAAGTTTAAGATCCTTCCCTCCTGTCCCCATTAGCATTCAAACTCCAATGTCCCAGGAAGGATTTGGCTTGTTGGGGATTTCTAAGGCACCTAGTTTCAACCACGCCTTCTAGAGCATCACACATATGTGCAGCTAGGTATTTGTACTGAAAAATTAGCATTTCTTCCAACTGAAGCAGTCCTAACTTCAAGTAAGTAGTCTCCCCTGTCACCAACACATGCTCCCACACGGATCACAAGGATAGACCTTTTGCTTTGGGGCTGGTTCTACATCAGCTAAAGCAAGACACAGGCAGGAGACGAGATGGACTCCACTGAGACGGCTCAATCCATGCCAGAAGTGACATTTACTGCACTCAGCTGGATAGCAAAATGACTACTGAATTTCTGGGATTCTCATACCACTGCCTCCCACCCAAAGAAGATGCGGCGAACAGAACATTTTATAGAGCTGAACAAATTCCAAATCTCTCTACAAGTTCACACGATTGTAGCAGCTACAAAGCACTACTTGAATGCAGTGTGAACATGTGTATCAACAAGTTTCTTCCCGTTTACTTAGCCACAGACATTTAGAACCGTCCAAAGCATTTGCCTATTCCATCGTCACCCGAGTACAAACACAGAAATTAGGCAGAAGGAATTGGAAAAGAGAAAGCAATGCTTCAAAATGCATGGCGTCATCAGCGCCGCAACCCTAGGAGAAGTGCGCCAAGCTGTAGGATACCCAGAAGGCCCAAGCAGCCTACCTTCAGCCCCTATGGAGACCAGCTTGACTCCTTTGCTAGCGATGAAGTCCAGAGCTTTGTTGACATTGTTGATTTTATGCACTCTCATCTTTCCCCGTTCTGGTTTAGGTAACCGCTCCCCTAGAGAGACACAAGAGTGTTAGATTCTCAGTAAACCTGAAGGTGGGAACTAAGAAGACTGCTGGAAAAACCAAGTAAACCTGTAGCAGGAAACAAGGCCTTCTCTTCGTGTCAGGGACAGGAGACGAGTCTGAGCTGTTGCACACGTTTTGAGCAATTTCTTAAAATGTGCATTATGAATATAGGTACTGGGGCAGGGGCCATTGTAGCTCTGTATTTGTGCAGCACTTGGCAGGATGTGGCCCTGACCTATACCCAGAGTCCTCAGCTGCTATGGTAATAGGAATGGTGAATAATTTCAGAAAGCAATCGAGTCCATCTACATCGCAATGGCATGGACTTGTATCGTGGTATCGAAACACGCTAAGGAGAAATCAGAGCCTGCTGCGCTCACAGAAGAGTGCCCGGGCCAGAGAGCTCGAAGTCTCAGTGGGGGCAGATGACAGGACAAGGAGCAACGGGCTCAAGTTGCAGCAAGGGAAGTTGAGGCTGGATTTCAGTAAAAACCTCTCTCACTCAGAGGGTAGTAAAGTACTGGAATGGGTTACCCAGAGAGGTGGCGGAGTCTCCATCCTTGGAGGTCTTTAAGACTCAGCTAGACAAAGCCTTAACTGGGATGATGTAGTTGGGAACGGTCCTGCTTTGAGCAGGGGGTTGGACTGGATAAGACCTCCTGAGGTCCCTTCAAACCTCGTTTTCAACGATTCTTACGTTGGAGTGTAAGCTGAGAGGAGGGAGCCATGCGTGCGGTCACTCTGTGCCCCCTGTGCAGCAGAGCATGACTCACCTGAAATGACCTCCAGAAGCAACATGAGTTTGAGACCATCGCGGAAATCCTCGTCTATGTTCTCGATCTGTGTGCCGGCCTTCCTCAGGTGGGAGTTGCACCATGCCGTAAAAGTCTGGAAGACACAGGGAGGGAAGGCGAGATTGTAAGTCAGGCTAGAAACAACTGCACGAGGCAGCATGAAACATAGGGGAAGTTGAGCCAACCTGTCCACCTTAGCTTAAACTTGTATATTTGGATCCAACACACCCAAACGGGGTGCGGTTCTCATCTGTGCACACCTATTAATTCACCACTGTACAGGTTATATTTGTCGTGTTTACTCCACCAGCTATTTTCCTTTCATCCTTTCACTGAGGCCACCACACTCCAGTGCAAAACAACAGCGCCCGAAGGGTCCAGCTCACTCCCCCTAAGCCCATTCCAAGAACCACTTTAGATAATTGAGACTAGACAGGCTGGGCTTGGTAAGAGTTCAACCTGACCAGCTGCCACTTTCAACCGCCTCAGGACACATTTAGCAGACACTTCTGAGGGTAGCGAGGATTTTAAATAAGCAAAACAGAAATAGGCCCGTGGTGTGCTACAAAGGTACTTTGTTCACAGGAAGCCTGAACTTCTGCAGAGCGCGTAAACAATTCTGGCACCGGGCGTCGGGGGCCGCCATCTGCCTAGAACCGGACAACCTCAGGCTATTCTGAGTTTCCTGTGGTCTTCATGTGATAGCAGCCTAGCAATATTGAACGACAAGGTCCAAACCTGCGTGTGGTCATTCAGCAAACGCTGACGCTGCCAGACACCATGCGCCGAACGGCAATGCGGTTTGGTCACCGAGCTGCATGAGGTGCCTAAGCTTGCTTGAAGCTGAAAGGAAGTCTACACGGCCCAGGCCCATGCAAGCACAGTCCCTACAGCGAGACAAGACGGGTGTGCAAGACTGCTCCGACTGCACACAGTTGGTGCAAACGCAGCCTCCACAGCGAGACAGAAGGGGTGTAACAAGACTGTTCTGACTCTGTGCTGTTGGTACAAGCACAGTCACTACCGTGAGACATGAGAAATGTGCAAGACCGAGGTGTGACTGCATGCCGTTGGTCTGAAGGATCCCGTCGTTTCCTGACTGACGGTTTTCCAGGTGTGTCGCTCTAAATACACGACATTTGCAACTCGGAACATGTAACACACGCATGTGATTAATGCTGCCAGGTGAGCACAGGGAACGGATACGGAGCTGGAAACAGCCCAGCACAGAGCCTGCAACCAAGCACCGTTCGTTGTGATAACTGTTACTAACCCGATTCACACTGACGCTCCCAGATAGCGACGGCTCGACTGCTCCTTGGCCCTACGCACCGTCTTCGGAGCGCAAACACGGGCACGGCTGACGCACAACGCTCTACAGGCCAGTTTCAAGAGCTACCACAGATCTCCCCCTTCATCTGATGGAGAGCACTTGGAAAAGCAGAAGAACTACAGAGCAAAGGAAGTGAGAGCACGGGGCTGAAGAGCCGTCCTTGGCAATCTGAAAGCCAGCCATCTGTCTCGATTCTGCACGTGCTTGGGAAACGGCCACACCTGAGTGTGATGTCTTCAGTACTAGAGTTTACACTAAGCAGCAAGTGCAGACCACAGGCTTGATGAAGGCAGAGAACAGGGGGTTGGACTAGACCTCCCGAGGTCCCTTCCAACCCTAACTTTCTATGAATTGATGAATAAAAAAGCAGGCTGGGAGTGACGGAGGAGAGGGCATAAGAGGACAGTCATTCTGTATTCTCAGGGCAGAGAAGTTACCACAAAGCAAGCTAGGACTTGACGTTACTGCAGGCCAGGGGCTCCGTAGGCAGGGGAACGTGCTGATGTATCGACATCCTGAGCCAAAGGCAGAAGCATTCCCCTTCCTTCCCATGACCAGCGCAAGGCCGCTGTGAGCACCGTGATGTGTCCTCTGCAGCAGCATTGCTCAACCCGTGGGTTGTGACCCAAAAGTGGATTGCAAGAATATTTCAAAGGGTTGTGAGCTGTGGCAGGGCAGAGGGATGGCAGGAAGGCGCTATGTGGCCAGTGCGGCTGCATGGGGGCTGGTGCCTGTGCTCGCAGGGGCAGGGCAGGAGGGGCCACGACCAGGCTGCCTGGCACAGTGCAGCAACCCCAGCCCAGAACAGGAGGGGTGCTGCAGGCCTCTCCTCCTCCCTCCAGCCCATGCTGCCCACATGAGCTGAAGTCACCACAGCTACAGCGCTCCGGCCCAAGCAAGACGGGGGCAGCTGAGGTCCCCGGGTCAGGACAAGCCGTGGATCTTTGCAAATGGGTCGCGGTAGGAAAAAGGTTGAGAACCAATGCTCCGGTGGACACGGTGGCCTTCGGAGAACCATGAGCGTAAAGCAGATTTCGCAGCCTTGTCACTTCAGAAGTGCATGCAAGTCCCACCCAGACCAGGTCATGGAACAGAAGTTACAGTAAGGAGATTAAAGGGAGCTTTGCAAGCCTGAAGTAGGACTACCGCATCTAAACCAGATCAAGTCCTAACTGAAGGCTAATTCTAGAACGCTAGGAGCGCGTTACCAATCCCCCGTGTATCTTCCCGCGGGCAGGGGAAGTTCCAACGCGTAGTCTGTCGCACCACACAGCTATTTCCCACTCCACCACCGCGCAGTCCTCAGTTCGGGCACTTCCCACTCCCCTTCTGTTTCAGGCTGGCCGGCTGCCGGATGGATTGCAAAGTCCTCTCTGCAGCCCGGCTCCCGGCCCGAAGCCCCCAGACCATACCTAATGCAAGAAACAGCCATTTCCTGCTGCTCCGTCTAAACTCATTACCGCTGCCTTTTACTCAAATGAGTTATGGGCTGGACACACAGCTTTTATGACAAGGGTGTAAAGCTACACTCTCAGACCTTGGAGCTGGATTCCTAGTTGTTAAGACTCTCGAAAGCTGGGATCAGGCACATGGGCTGCTTCCTGGAGCAGCCTGCGCTAGGGAAAGGCTATTGGCAAGTTGTGTGTCATGCTAGGAGGACTCTCAGCCTGCCCCCACCTCCCTCGAGGGAGATGAGCAGCAGTTGCAGGAAGCTACCGTGTCTTTATTGCTTCGTATTTGTTGACCGCCAGCCCATTTGAGGTTATGTAGTGATGCTTCTGCCTCCAGAAAGGGACCGTGGGTCTGCGATCGCTTGGAAGGATGCTTTCGAATTCAAATAGCATTGTCCCTTTCCCAGCAGCGCAGCACTAGGCAGAGCTGCCGAGGACTCAGAATAAGCCCCTAGTTCTGCTGCTTTAGTCATTCCAACGTGGGGGAAGTTCCTTCCGCTGTAGCTGCCCTCCCTGGAAGTGTCTGGCACAAGCCCCGCTGTATCGTGCAAAGCCGAGGTGTCAGGTCCCCAGCTTTCAGTCTCCCCCTAAATGAGGAAATTTTATGGGAGAATTCCCACCGCCAAACCCTGCCACCGGCTCCGCGTCCGGCTAACAAGTCTTTGCTAGGGAGACTGGAAGAAACAAATGATTCTTGGCAGGCTGTCAGCAGATGGATCAATTCTCAGCTCGCAGCAGATGAACCGCAGCTCCTCCACACCCTTCGCTTTGTGAGTTGTTAGAAGACCTTTAACCTGCCATGAGGGTGAGGGCTCAAGAGTCGGATCAGACCCCCTCAGGTCTTGAGACGCACTGCAGTGCCCTTCCTCAGGGCATCTTCTGGGGAGGGAGAGGAATGAATCACCTTCTGCCCTTACCTTTCACAACCACACACATGCCCTGGGTCTGAGAGCCCTCCTCCAGCCTGCTGCTGCCTGGAAAGGATGGGGATCAAAATGCATCCTCCTGCGTCAGAGCATGGCCCCTCCTAGCACGGCTGTGTGGCACCTCCGTACCGCCAGGAAGCAAAATGAATGAACGGGGAGTATTGTTCCACCCTAAACACTGCTGGCCAATCCCCAAGTGCTTCAGTGAGCTCATAGCCGGGGAATGTTGCAATGACAGTTTTTAAATGAGCCATTCATCTAAGGAGGGGAGGGAGAAGGAGAAAGTTTCCCCGCTTAAATGAGAGTATTAGATCAGACAAGGCTCAGTTGGTCTAATAAAAGATATCACATTTACCCAAAAAAGTTGGCAAAATTGTTCTTTGCAAGCTTCCGGGCACAAACGCCCTTCTTCAGGCCCAAGGAGAGTCTGCCGGTGTTTTGTATTCCCGTGCATTTTTAAAAGGAGAGACCCCCCTGAATTATAAAAGCAAAGCCGTTTTCTCTTGATCAACTGACACCAAAACTCAACACACTGCCACTCCGCAGAACGGTTTGACTGGAAAGGATCTGACATGCCGAGCGGCTTTCTCCCAACACTCACTATTGTGAAAGCTGCCCTCAAAAGGAGAAAAGGGAAATCAGCATTTCACAAGGGTCTGGCTTCTTTAAAGTGTGTGTGGGGAGGGCAGGGGGAAGAAAGGAATTTCAAAGGCGAAATCAAAGGTTGAGCCACATCAGGAGGAAGCAATCCTGTAACTCAGCTCTCAGCAATGAAGTTTATTTCAGGAAGCGGCAGGGAGAGGGGAACAGCCTCAGGACACTGCGTGCTCTCGGGCAGGTAAGGAGGCTTTTCCAAGCCCACGGAGCATTAGGAAGAGGATCTGGGGGTTCCTCTCCACCGTGCAACTAAAACAGAGCCAAAGATCGCCTTAACTTGCAGTGAAAAACAAAAAAAAAAAAAATGAAGAATGAGCCAAGTTCAAAGCAGATCTTTGGTCTGCACAAGGCAAGTCGTGGGCTTCTTCCAATCCCGGTATCTCACTGCAAAAAAAGCATTCCCAAAGCATGGCAAGTTCAAGGGAAAATATACAGGCCAGGAGTGAAGTGGGATATTTTAAACCCACAAAAAGCATCACAGCCTTGGCTTTGCCAGGAATTTCTAGGAAGTCTCATCTGTCCATTTATCCCCCTCCAATAGCCATGCAATTGCTTGTCATGTCCATGCCTGTGGTATACCATGCTAAAGTTACAGGATGCTGGAAGAGAAGAGAGTATTGCCACGGGAAGACACAATGCACTCCTCAGGAGCGGAGCTGGGCTCCAATACGGATAGAAACCTGTTGCAAACACCAAGACTCACCAGCCTTTGAGGCATATATCAGCC